AAGACCTCAGAGAGAGGACTGAGTTCTCCCAAGGACTCCACCAGCATCGCCTTTCTAGTGTGAGTCCAGGAGCTACAGGCTCCATTCAGCCCTTTCCACCTTTACATACAAGTGCACCTCCCACATGCAGATACCAGTCCCATGAAACCACAGCACACATGGATTTAAATTCATATTCCTTCTCACCCTGGAGAGCATTTTCTGGGTGTCACAAATCTTATCCACATGAACATGAATTGTGTGTGGGTTTTCCTCTTTCTGGTGGCGACTCTGGGAGGTGAGTGCTTCAGGGATTCACACGTGAAGTCTGGAGATACAGCATCTGAGCATATGACTCTGTGTTTCTCTTTATCCCCAGGTGTCCTGGCCCAGGTGCAGCTACAAGAGTCAGGCCCAGGTGCAGTTACAAGAGACAGACCCCGTCTCTAACCTGTGCTGTCTCTAGATTCTTTTTAATCAGCCATCATGTACACTGTCTCCACCAGGCTCCAGGAAAGGGACTGCAGTGGATTGGTATAATATGGAATAATGGGTGCATAAAGTATAATCCAGCCTCCAATCCTGAGTCAGCATCACCAGGGAGACCTCCAAGGGCTAAGCTTATTTAAAACTTAGCTCCGTGAATCCTGAGGACACAGTCATGTATTACTGTGCTAGAGACACAGTGATGGGAAGTCAGTGTGAGCCCAGACACAAACCTTAGTACATCAGGTCATGGTTTCAGCAGATGTGAAAGAGACAAGTGAGTAATGTTTTCCTCTCAAAAGGTTTCCCCACCTTGTCAGCACCTCTCTGAGGACCACCAAGCACAGACTCTAGGGAAACTTCTTGTATCTGAACATGCTTTCTTTTCATAGGGCTTTGTCTGTTTCACCATTTATCCAAAGGCAGACTTCAAAGTAATAGGTATCAATGAAATCTTAGTTTACAATTCAGGGTACTAACCAGTGCTGTTTGTTGTCAAAGTTAGAAATATTCCCCAAACAAACCCAAACTCACTGCCATCGAGTGGATGACAATTTATAGTGATGCCCCTGTGGGTCTCTGAGATTCGAACTGCTTATGGGAGTAGAAAGCCCTGTCTTTCTTCTTTGGAGTGGGCACTGGCATACAGATCTCAGCCCAACACATAACCACTATGCCACCCATCTCATTATAAAAATATTAATGCAGGAAAAAATTCTCATGTGAGCTCCAAATTTTCTCCAAGCCATCAGGTGGATGTTTAATGTTTCCATTCCAGTGATACTCACAAGTCTGCGCTTATGTAATAATTTTAACTTAGAATGACCTAAATAATATTGAATATGTTGAATTGTTAGCTATCCTTGAGCTGGCTTCGACTCCCAGAGATCCCATGAATTACTGCCCAGAAGTGCACTATGATCACAATTATTCCTCCGTTTGGACTCATCATTGCAGCCTTTGTGACAATCTATCTCTTTTTCATTGACAGTCTCATTTACCAAGCAGAAGACCATTCTCTGGGTTGTGGTGCTCCTAATGACATGCTCAAATAAGTGAGATAAAGTCTTACTGAATGCTTCCAAGATGCATTGCATCCAAGATGTCCTTATTCCAAGACAGACCTGATTGTCCTGCAAGCAGTACATCTGTCATCTTCTTATCATCTATCTATCATCTTCTTATTT